TAACAAAAAAATACTGAATCCGCCCTTGTGCATAGTGAAAAGTTTTGACCCAATAGAAAGCTTAAGGGGCCTTCATTTGATAATCATTTTTCATAAAATAAAGAAGCCCCCAATTTATAGAATCCCATTAGTTGATTAATAGAAGTTTAAAGATCCAAGCAATTAGAAAAATGAAACAAAAAAAAAAAAAAAAAAAAAAAAAAAAAAAAGGGTTAAACAGAAAAAGGTTGTAAATGTAATACTCCCTTCGTCTCATATTAGACGTCTCTTATGGGGAGTAGAACTTTTTAAGGGGACATGTAATTATTGTATTGTCTCCCTCAAAAATTACAAAGCTACCCTTTTTAGTTTGAATATATATATAATTAAGTTTGAAATTTTTTAAAATTTTAAAAGTCTTTTATAGAAAGATGTAAAAAAATATTATTTAAATTTGATAAGTGGATAAATATTTTAGGACAATTTAAATAGTAAAAATAAATAATTATTATGGGACGAGGAAGTATAAAAAAAAAAAATTAAAAAAAAAAATATATATCAACACGTGACAATAAGGTGTAACAAAAAATGATTTTGTTGTCTTGTGCTCTAGTTACTGCCCACGTTTGGTTCAGACCATCTTCGTGTAACAAGGTCCTTTGATTTTCACCATACATATATATATATACACACACACTATGTATATCTTTAAATACTACTCTGTATAAAAGTAGGTACTACACTACTACTCGATCTATCTATGTGATTTGATTTGACTTGACTGATACCATAAATGAACAAATTATCTTTTTAAGTTTCAATACATATATAATTAAGTTTTAAATTTTAAGAACTTTTGATTGAAAGATGTAAAAAATATTGTTTAAATTTAATATTGAATAAATATTTTAAAATAATTTATAAAGTAAAAATGAATAATTATTAGGAAACGGAGGAGAGTAGAAAAAAGAACTCCAAACAATAAGAGAGACCGACCCTAGGACCCTTAATGACTCTTCTACCAAAAAGATACACACACCATCACCGCAGATTGCATTCACACCATTTTTAAAGTCAACACGTAGCAATAAGGTGTTAAAAAAATGATTTTGTTGTCCTGTGGGCTAGTTTGCCCACGTTTGGTTCAGACCATCTTCGTGTCACAAGGTCCTTTGATTTTCACTATATATATATATATATATAGATATATATATACTACGCATATCTTTAAATACTACTCTGCAAAAAAGTAGGTACTACTCTCATCAATCATCTATGTGATTTAATTTGACTTATACCATAAATGAACAAACTAGGGGTCAATCACATGGCAGCCTTCAGCCCCATCTAAATTTGTCGTCTACTCTGATTTGGGATAGGCTGACTGGCTGAGGCCTTCCTTCTTGTACAGCATGATTAAGACTGTTCACAATTTTACTCCAGTATTCTCAACGCAATTATGAGACGCTACGTCACTAGTATGTATTATTAACGTCCAACCCTATACTATCACTTAATAATTTCTTCACTATACAACCCCACTTGTCAAATTTGTTGTCAACTTTGTGCGAACAGAAATATTTTCGGTTTGGTTAATTATAGACACTCATTATTTTTTGAATTCTCAATTTTTATTTTGAGAAAAAAGGAAGATATCACTTGAATACCTCATTGGTTTATGAAATAATCATGTTATTTAGATCAAAGTTTGAAAAATTTATTAAAAAAATGAATTTTAGGAGGTCTTATTATTAGGAAAGGAACCAAATATAACACTTTTTGAAGTTATATACGGTGACTAAAGTTTAATGCAGATCTAGAAAAACACTAGTTATTAGGCCAAATTATCTTTAATATTTTCGGGTAGTATTTTTTGTACATATATATGTATAAATAAATTAACCATTGATTTGATTATGGCACATGTAAATTAATTAATTTGTGCATAAAATAATTGACTAGTGAGAATGATAAAGAGGATGGTGCATGTCGACCTCTCTCTCTCTCCCTCTCTCCGTGGGCCTGACTCCACTCTTACATGTGCTAAAATTTTTAATGCCCACCAATTTTTGTTTGAGAAAATAACTTGTGAGAATGATTAATTAGAGGTAGGAGATAAGTGTATTCATACCTTCAAAATTTTGATCATTGAAAATTTTTCCAAGTTTGGTTTTTGTTATATAAAACCATATATTAATTCAAGCGGCTACTTTTCAAAGTTAAGAATTTTAATCAAAGCATGATGTAGACATGAAAAAATTAGACCAGTCATGGGGCTTGGTCCTGGGTTTGACTTTCTCGACCATTAACCCTTTGCCTTTGCCCTTGTCACAAAAGTAATACTTAAATGCACAAACGTAGTACAGAAGATATGAGAGTAATTTGGACAAATAAATCGTATTTTTTCATGTCTACTTCAAATTTTGGTTAAAAGTCCATAACTTTAAAGTGTTGACTTTGATTTTATTTTCAGAAAATAAAACTCCCAAAAGTCCACTTTTTTATAATTTTTCTTAAAAGTTTTAGGCTAAACTTATTTTAATATAAATATGTTGATATGTAGATTTTTTCCACTTTATTAAGATGGTCGATAATTTAATTAAAAATCAACGATGTGTCACTTTTTGTGGATTATTATTTCCTTAAGAAAATAAATTAATTAATAATCTGTCTTCAGTATTTTCTTCTCATGAAATGCTATTGAAAAAAGTAGCTGCTTGAATTTGGTTTTATATAGCAAAAATCAAACTTGTCAAAATTTTGAATGATCAAAATTTGGAATGAATACACTTTTCTCCTACCGCTAATTAATCATTGCGTGTGATAGGTCCATATAACAACCACACAAAAATTAGTGGGGAATTATTTTTTTTTAGCACATATAAGAGAGGAGTCAAGCCCAGAGGGAGGAGCGGTCGACATGCACGCCCTTAAGTCAAAAGAAAATAAAATATAAACAACTAGTCAATTATTGCATGCACAACTTAATTATTTTAAATGTGCCATAATCAAATCAATGGTTAACTTATTTCTATTATTATTTCTGTTTGATAGGTCCATATAATAAACAATTAGCAAACGATTTCTTGTCACATTGTTACCAAACATAATAGATTGTTCGCTAAAATTTGATAAAAATTGACATAAAACTAACACTAAAAAAATTCATTCTGCCACTAAATAATTGAATGTTAAAGAGTCTCGTAAACGCTCAATTACACTTTTTGAGAACATCCAATTGATGTCTTAAAGTTGGAAAAATTGAAGGAATTTTTTTTCTTTGAATAAAAAAGTTTGGACATAATTTTCTATGATTCTAATTCAAACATAGCGTTAATACACCAAGAATGCGCACTTGCATATATACAACGGTGGAAAATGAAATTGACTAGCATTGGAATAAAAAAAATGGATGGTTTTGAAATCAAGTCAATTTATTCTCTTGATCATCATAAGTGGGTTGCTAAAGAGAAGTTGTAGTCAACTTATTCTCTCGAGCAAGTGGGCTACTACTAGTACTACTAATGAGAAATTCTCCGATGGTGAGGGGGAACATCTAGATACATTGGCTATGCCATTGATGGATATCTTCTTTGTTTATGTTCCACACAAAAAAAAAAGGAAAAAAATAATAATGATGATGAGGTAAAGGTCTAATTATTCGGCCCATTTATTGTTTTTAAATAAATAGTACGGAAAAATAACTTCATTTCTTGCTTATTTATTTACTTTTCATTTTTTTTAAAATTTTTTTTGTTCATATCACGCCCGCTTAGAACACTCCATAATCCAACACCAGACACATGCAATCTCCCATCCCACATGCACCGAATAATTATAAAATAAAAAAAAATTGTGAGAGAAAGTTTACAGCTGTCGATGCAGTTGTTCTTCTAATTTTGTGATTTCGTTGTGCTTGAGGGGATGCCCTAGTTGCCTCTATGCTAGTTGTACTTGATTGTCTTTATTTAATAAAATCCGTCCCCTTGGGTTTTGTTTGCTTGGATGAAAAGTGAATAAAAGTGAAGTGAATGAAAATAAAATAATTTTTTTATAATTCATTTGACTAGCATGAACTTTTTTGAAGGAACTTATGAGAAAATATATTTTTAATTTTTTGTCAACGATTGTGATGTCGGGCCTCCAGAACACCACCCCATAATTATGTGATTATCGTTGTGCTTGAGTTGGGATTTATCCCCCATCCCACAGTGCACCGAGCAATTATCAAAAAAATTCCTTTAAGGAAAGCTTACAGTTGCATATGTTCTTCTAATTCTGTGATATCGTTGTGCTTGAGCTGGGATTTATCCACTCTAGTCTCTTGTTATTCTCTTAGAGGGGATGCCCTTTGTGCTAGTTGTACTTGATTTATTTATTTAATAAAATTCTTCCACTTGGGTCTGTTTGCTTAAATGGAAATCAATACTGAAAAAAAAAAAAAAAAATCAATACTGGAAAGTGAAAAAAAGTGAAGTGAAGAAAAATAAAATATTTTTTTTTAGAATTCATTTGGTTGTTAGAATGAACTTTTTTTAAGAAACTTGTGAGCCACCGAGCAATTATAGAAAAATTTCCCTGAAAGAAAGCTTACAACTGTAGATGTTTTTTTAATTCTGTGATTTCCTTGTACTTGTTATTCTCTTTAGAGGGGATGCCCTCTATGCTAGTTTTACTTGATTGTATTTATTTAGTAAAATTAATCTGCTTGGGTTTGTTTGATTTGATGGAAATCAATGGTGGAAGGTAAGGTGAAGGAAAATAAAATAATTTTTTTAGAATTCATTTGATTAGCATGAATTTTTTTTAAATATATATATATATATATCATTGATGATAATATCAAGACTCCTAAAACACCCCATAATTCATTGCTGAACATATGCAATATCCCGTCTAATATGGAACAACCAATTATCAAAAATAATTCTCTCAAAGTGGTCCTAAAATGAGACGTGTATAAATACGATTGACAAGAGAGGAGACACACACTAATAGAAAAAAGATAACGAAATCACATGTAGCCAAGTGACACATTAAGGACGATTTCTCATTAATAATTAACCACATTGACATATTGTGGGAAGATGAGATACAAGAATATTTTACAATTATAAACTAAAAAAAAAAGAAGTAGAAGAAGAAGAAATAACTTCCCTATTTGACTTTTGTGGGGAAATTAGGTAGGTCTAGTTTTTTCATAAAATATTAAAATATCTAGACATGATGAAAATTCGACTCCAAAATTTAAACACATATTTTAATGGATCAAACAGTGGGTTTCCAAAACATTTAGTAGATGAGCAGTGATAGAGTGTCCGAATTAAGTATCAAGATGGAGGTGGAGATGGAAGCACGGTAAGTGCGAGCACCCCGCTTACTGCGGCTGCAATGGCTCCGACGATAAATGCTGGTAAATTGCCTCCTCCAAATAGGGCATCCCATGGTCCACTCACTACAGACACAATCATCTGTTTCACACATTTATAAAACATATTAGTCTACATTTGAGTCACCTCTATTAATAAATTATTCATATTATACCACAGAATTATCATTCGGTTATTATTGGTTACTAGTGTAAAATGTTTGAAATTCTAAATAAATAAAATTTGGTAATAGAGAAAACAAAGGATATATGGCATATATTATACATATCAATGGATCATATGTTCATAAATATGCTAGAAGGAAGCAACTCAAATCGAACTTATTGGTGTAATAATAAAATCTCACCTGTGGTATAACTATTGCTAAATTCAGAACTCCCATAGAGAGACCTACATGTGACATTCAAACATTACAATCATATTAGAAGAAGGCCTTAACAATACCCTAAAAATGTTCAAAATAAGACTTGTGAATAAATTTTAAAATAAAAATAACCAAAAAAAAAAAAAAAAACAAAGTTGAAAATCAGCACATGCTTCTTTACCTTGTCCTGAATTAGAATTGGTAGAAAAAATGGATGCTAGAGCATAGGGAACAACAGTAATCACCTGCACAACCATTAAAAAGATAATTAATTATTACTTATAAAAAAATAATTAATTATTGCTATAAAATGAGTACATTGAACCTACTTATATACAAATGTCAACATTTAGAAAGCCTAGGGGCTAGGAGACATAAAGTAGTTCACAGCTGGGCAACCTTTCTCGAGGTCTCTTATAATTGAGCTTATTTATATACTATAGTTGCCTCGATATTCCATTTTATCTATATATATATATATATATATATACAAAATTGCTTAGCTTGTTGACGTGAACGTTATTCCACATTTAAACATTTTTTTCTTAATGTTCTACAAAACTTTGAGGAAAGAAAGTAAAATACAATGAGCTGAAACTTGACAAAGATTAAAAATTACTACTTTGAAAGTGAAATTTTCAAGCGAAACAAAACTTGTATAAGCATTTAAGCACCTTGTAATTTGTTTTCAAGCGACTCTAGTCAAAGGAGAGCTATACACACACAAATATACATACATATATATATATAGAGATATATATATCAGAAATTTGGATATAATTTTAATTTACAAATCCTTGTTCTTCTTTAAAGCACAAGCTTTTCTGGCTCTTTTTTTTTCCAAAAAAAAAAAAAAACCCTTTTCTGGCTCACCAACAATAAGTGCCGCGGGACAGACTCATAAATAGGAACATGATAAGTTCATATCATAGATAAAGTATGGTCCAGATCGAGTCCAGTTCATAGATAAGTTCTATATATATATATATATATCTAGTCTGATATATATATATATATATATGTATATAGTCTGATATAATTCACTGAAGAGGTGTAGAAATTAATCAAACAGCTAAAAACCCCAAATATAGTGACGTTGTACCAAGTACGCGTTCACTGTCAGAGAATACACGTGGTACTCTAGACACATTATTTGTAGCATGAGGGTTGTTACCCACAATTGGTGGATTGTCTATTACTATATGTTTTAATATTAATTTTGAAAAAAAAAATTATTTTTTCTTTTTCTTTTTATTTGCCAAAGAATAAATTTAGTTGACAGTCAATTGATGTGAAGAAAACATAGAGCTCCGAAATTATAGATTATACGGTGGATTACATATTTACGGTCAGTCAATTATAACTCGATATATAAATAATTTTATTTAAAATTAACATTTTAAATGAAAACTCACCGAGAAAGGGATGCCCAGGACGGCAAATAGAGCAAACGCGCCAATCTTCACCCCAACAGGTGGCGGCAATGGATCGGCCCCAGCACCACCTACGGTGGGAAACCGCCTCGTGGAGTCGGCCATTTTGGTGATCAACACCGTCATGGCCAAGCAAATCGCAAGCAGAAAGTTGGCACCCGCCCAAAGCCGCTTCCCTGCAGCACCGCCGCCACGCCCCACGACCTGCAGCGTCAGCGACGTGATCCCCAGCACCACCGAGTTCAGCATCAGACCCAATGAACCCGCGTGTACACCCTTATCATACATTCTCCCTTCCCCTACCTTTCCTCCATAAACTTCCTTCCCCATCCAGTCCGTATCGTACAACAGAAACGGAAAGAACCCAATCCAATTCAGACACGTCACCATAAGCAGAATCCACATGGTCCTAGGCAACTCCTTCAACGCACCAAATATTTCCCCAAAAAAGGGTAACCTCCCTAGTCCCTTCCCTTTAAAGTCACCGGAAGTTTCCGGTTTGGGTAGATATATAGGCTTCTCGTGTACTGTTGTAAATGCTACCACGGTTAGGCTGAGTAACAGAATAATGGAGAGAAAAAAACAACTCTTCAAATTTGCACAGTAGACATCACATGCTTCAGTGATTGTGAATGGGAACATATTGTGGAGGTGACTGTATGATCCGGCCGCATAGCCGAGCACGTTTCCGACCGCCATGAACAGGGAGAATAAGGCGTTGGCGGTTCTGGTTCGGCTTTGGTCGTTGCCGGAGAGGTCGCCTAGGAAGGCACGACAGGGTCCCTGGACCATGTTGTTGGCCACGTCGAGGATCCAGAAGCCGGTGATGAAGATGACGATGGCGCGGGGCTTGGGGGTCTTTTTGGTGGTGGGGTCGCCGAGGTGGCGGCCGAGGTCGGCAGAGAAGCCTATAACAAAGATGGCGGCGGAGATGAGGACGGTGCCGGCCGCGATGAAGGGGCGGCGGCGGCCGAAACGGGAAGTGCAGCGGTCGCTGTAGTAGCCAACGACGGGCTGCACCACCATGCCGGAGATGGGGCCGCAGAGCCACATGAAGGTGGCCCACATGTGGGGGATGCCAAGGAGCTGGACGTACGGGGTTAAGAGGGAGAGCTGCAAGGCCCACACGAAACAAATTCCGGTGGCGATGGACGCCACCATTATTACGTCTCGCAGTGGGGCTGGCGGGGGTAGTGAGTCTTTTTGGAGTTGCAGAGCTGAAGGAGGTTTTTGTTTATCATCTTTCATAGCCACACCATTCTCCATTTTCTCGCTCTCTCTGTCTATTTAGCTAGATCAGTGTGTGTTGTAGATGAATGCCTTGTTCTCTGTTTATGCTTATATATATAGGAACATAATACACACACTGTGTGTGATGATTTTGGCGGCATTGCTTGGCCGGTGTGGGAAACTTGCAACTGGTGGGGTCTGATAAAACTGTCCTAATCTTTGGGAATAAGATCAACTAATCACTGTTTCAAAGCTTTATTCAATTTTTTTCTAACCCATCAAATATTGATCATTTTATAATTTGTGGCGGACATTTGCAGTTATTCACCAACCCTAATTATTTGATTGTAATTACATTTGTAGTGATTAGAGTCCTCCCTGCAATATTGCAGGGTGACAATTTGTTATTTTCGTGACAGTGTCAATGTAAGGGTATTATATTAAGTAAATAAATTTAAAATTAATTTATTTAATAATTGTGTGAAAAATCTTCAACATTAGCCCAACCCATTTATAAACGTGTTAACCCGTTTAATGACCTGTTTATCAAAATAAGACATTTAATATTTAATCAAATACTAAATAATAGAAGAAAAAAAAATGATATAATTAATCCAAATATTTAAAATAAAAAGAAAAATTATAAAACATAGACAATATTTATGTTGAAGGACTTAACTATTCATAATAATTGGGTTTAAATAAGTAACATATTACATAGGTCATATTCACGATTATAATATGTTGAGTTAAATGGATCATAAATGGGTTACAAGGGTTGACCTCCTCAATACAATTAAATAAACGAGTTAATCGTGTTGACCCTTTTATGACTCAACTCAAACCCGTTTACGTCAAATTCAAATCTTTTTAACTCGTATTACGTTCGTATTGTATTGTCATGTCATGCCATAATTTGCCACCCTTATTTGCAATACAACAATTACTCTCCCGCATACGATGTATAAGTGATCATTGTAAACAATACAATCATTCTCGCATATATGAGTGATTATGGCAGTCTTTACACTTGGTTACAGTACAACACAGTATGTAGTACTGTTAGCTTAGACCATCCAATGTGTGTTATGTCAAGTGTGTGTTTAGAATATCTTTGTTAGCCACAAGAGTGCCATAAAAAGAGTCGGTCTGATCTGCTAGTGATAAAGCAAATCAATTACGCTTAGTTGAGTTTTTAATAGGTAAGATTCGCTTTACATCACAAAACTCTTACCGAGTTTTGTTTGTGGACGAAACGGAAGGGAAAAAGTGATGCCATCAACTAAAGCAATTTGACTAAGTTTTGGTAGGAATGGTCTCGCAATAGCTATTTTTTTTTTTTTTTTTTTTTTTTTGACTAAAACTACGACTTTGTAGGTTGATTAATCATATTTAGGTTAAAAAGTGATTTTGGTTGATTATAATTTAGGTTAAAAAGTGATTTTGGTTGATTATAATTTAGGTTAAAAAGTGACTTTGGTTAAATAATTCGTTCAAAGTACTATATAATTTGCCTGATGTCAGGCTACAAGTCAGCATAAAGAAAGGTAGATAAACAATCTCTATTTTGTATTCACACCACTACCGACTTGGCTGTGATATTTTTCATATATATATATATTAGTTTATCGGACTCGGATTTTCACTCGCATTGGATAGCTATTACAATATAAAACAAATATATAAACACACACTGCGTGTCAAGTATTAATGTAACTTGGCAGTACTCCCTGTAACGTATTCAATTTGTTGATGCAAAACTCGCCAAGCATCAAAATATAACATTACATATTATCAAAATATAAATGATAAGTGAGTTATTAAACGACACTTTAGTGAGAAGGATCTTATAGCAAAAGTGTATTAAATAATGAATTAAAATTGACATTCTCAAAAGAGTAAATGTATTGAGCACTATTTATCATTTTTTTAAGAGCAGCTTTGCATATTTTGAATTTGGAGAATAATATGTGTGCTCCGTTGATTTAGATATAAAATATTTTTTAAAAATTATTTTTTTATTTTTTAGTATTTAGTTGTTGTAAAATATTTACAAAGAAATTTTTGTTTTAAAATTTAACAAAAATTAATTATTTATCAATTTTTGACAAATTATTTTACATACCTCGGCCTATAAACTCGACCTCAGCCTCAATGTAAATATAAAAATAAAATAATATTTTACTTGAAAAAAAAAAAAAATCGTCGAAACAAACGTAGCCTTAGGTGTGTCTAAATTTAAATTAATATATAATTGTTGAATCCATACCCTGCTCAGGGGCCAGCGCAGTCCCTGCAATAAAGAACACACCAAAGATACCACACCAAAGATACCACACCACTACTTCAATTATTGGGTAGAAATTAAAGTAGCACCAAAATATATATAGTTGCAAAAACCACTAACATCTTGTTCACTAAACAATACATCAATCAAAAGCTGTTTTTTTCTATAATCATTAGGAACCATATAATAATGGATAAATTATAATGATTTTTTTCTAAAATTTGACTTAATTGTAAATAAGTATGAGGTTTGAACCTTTTTTTTTACAATTCTTTGCTCAATTTTGCAAAGACCTTCCCTCGGTGCAAAAAGTAATATTTTTTTGTCAAAAAAATTGGTTTGAAGGGGCCAAAATGCCCAACAATTGAGAGTGAAAGAAGTCCTTATTACCTTTATAGTATCATGATTCGTGGTATATAAAAAATATCATGCATCAGTAGACCAATTTACCCCTTCTATGTAAATAAGACTATAATATGAAATTCAATCCAAATGAAACTCAAATGGAAATCCAAATAGTATTATCATATATATATACACACACACATACATATGTGGAGGGAAAAATCCCCCTCCAATAAGAATCATCCACATCGTTAAAATAAGGTATTACCTCAATAGTTTCCACTAGCCCATCGAAGCCCAATTTTGAGCAGGCCCGGGTAAAGTCGCTATCGATGTGATATCCCTCGATTCTAGAGTCACGGGTGATCAAGTCCGTGCACAAATCCGAAGGATACCAAACAATTAATATTTAAATGAACATGGGAATACAAGAAGAATTTAATGAATAAATAATTAAGCAGAAAAGAAAACTAAATATTAAAATCCTTAACTTAATATCCAAAAACCTTAAATCATCATTACAACTCGGGAATCCATCTAGTGGACCCCTAATGATAATCCAACTGAAACAACTGAAAAACCATAAACAGAAACTAAAACATAAGTAGAGTCCTACATAGATCCGGAAGAATGATGTGGACTGCCTCTGCTTAGCATGAACCAACTTTAAGCCTGGAATTGATGAACACCTGAAAAAATAAAAGTGGGACAAGCCCACGAGTAAGTTCTTTCTACGACAACCCAAACAGAGATCGGAAAACTATACATCTATAGCTAACCCATGAAATAACTATATAATCCGTAAAGATATATATCCACACTAAAGGATTCTCATTGGACTACAGGCCGGTCTCAACCTAAATAAAGGCAACATACAAAACGCACCCGAAGTGGGCATGTGTACCTAAACCTAAGCAGGGTACACCTCCAACCATCATAACCAGTTATGCATCCCAATGCATATACGCTCCCTAACCATCGATCATGAGACTCAAGCTCATATCATAGTACCATAATTATATATATAATCCAGTATAAATTAATCATTTACAAGTAATCCTCTATAAGTCATTCAACTTATTCAGCTGACCTGACTTGAATACAAGTAGGACTTAACATTTTAGTTAATCCATTCCCTTATACAAAGTAGGTAGGACTTAACTTCTTTGGTTAATCCGTACCTAGAATGCCACCGTCCCATACCGGTGCATTAAATCCACACAATCCAACTATTGATGTAACAATTTCAAAAGTACATCTAAATATCCAAAGTTATACATAATAATAATATTATATTATGCTAACACAAGATAGGACAACTTATAATTTATTTAAGTTTCCTATGTCACATGTCCTACATATACAGAATCTGAAACAGATTGATATATATATATTTTTTCTATACAATCACTTAAGCATTCTCCATACTTTGTTTATTTAAAAGTTATTTAAATCATCCCTAATCCTTATTCGATGTTTAGGACTCCATAAATCTAATCTACCACCATTACAACACTAATTCCGAGACTTTAACAGTTAAGGCTCGAGCACCCTGTCCAAGGCTCGAGCATCCTACTGCAGGCTCGAGCTCTTTATCCCAATTGCGACACAGACCAATTCCCCCTAACAATAATCATCCTCTCTTTCCATCTCTTTTCGGAAGTAGGGAGGTTTGTACATATCCTCTGTTGAAGAGAAGAAGTGAAATAATAACGGCCAAGCTCGGTCTGATGTCTGGAAATAGTATAGGTGATCAATAAGTCAGCGAGAGTCAAATCAAGACTCTTTAACCTTCGACGTATAAGAGGAGCTGATACTATTCTAAGAAAGTTAGGGTTTACTTAAAGAGAGACAATACCTAACTTATTGAAGATTAAATGATAAAAAGGATGAAGGGGAAAACGAAGGGCATTCAGATGGCCAACAGATAAAAGCAATTCATTTTCACCCACCCCTTCACCAGAACTGAAATCGGCAGTATTTGGGTATTCAGCAATCTATACCCCCTCGGGGATTTTAAACTCTTCCATTACGGAATTAATGGTGAACTTGATACGCCGGACTAACAAAATCATCTCTCTTTCCCTTTTTTGTAAAAATATTGTTCGATTCAGAAGTGGATACCTCTGCTTGAGGCAGAGAATCATCTACCCGCACAACAAAATCGTTCATAGCCTCAAGGGAATTAGAAACCCAAGGAGGAGGGACTTTAAGAAGGACAGGAGATGACGAATGTGTGGTTTCAGAATCCATCATCTCTGTAAGGTCCTGGGTAGATGAAGTGCTCATGATATAAAATAACTAAGATAAGTGAAGAACTAATCTGATATCACGACGAAGCAATGAACTCAGTGAAGACAAAAGTAAACTTTGAAGAAGTTCTTTGGTCAGAATGTCAATGGTCACTCTCAAACTGCGTCTTGCAAAATTGGCAACCATGTAAATTCAATTCCCTTATAATTAGGAG